TCAGACTCCCTGCTTGAATATCGAATCCATTTCCACACAGAAAAGGAGTAACTGGAGAAAGCATCAGTTCTGGGATCTCCAGTTCTGATCTTCCACTTGTTAGAAAGATACTGCCAAAAGGGATGTCATTGAGATAACTGCATTATTCCACAGCCTTTCATTGGAACCTCTGAGTGCTGTGCAACAGATGAGCAAGAATGGAAAACTGCTACTAGAACGCAACTCGCAAGGAGACCTCTAAGCTCATTAGCACACATTCAGCCCGAAGCACCTGTGTGATATAAGGCCATGTCATTAGAACTGTGCTTTAAGGTGGAATTAATTTAAAGACGCAAGAGGGACTCTCTCTTTTATGGTCTTTGGAAGGGCATTCCGAAGTTACAGCACAATTCCCAGTCTCGCTCTTGTGATGAGCAGAGGTCCTGGTTTCAGATTCTCTGGCCTGGGAGGAAGAAAGAGGCTCAGCATTGACGCGTAAACCCAGGATTGTCCTTTCCGCCTGGTTAGCCCTGAGATTTGTGGAGGCACAGTATGTTCCTGGTATCCCGGGAGTAGAGAGATCCAAAGCTTTTCTAGTCATCAACAATGTGAGGCCGGAGTATTGGAGGGGGAAGAAGGGGATCTGGGCATTACTCGCCAAAATGACTCCGAACTCCACAACGCCACAGTTGTCTTGCAGCAGAAATCTAGCAGAACGTTCGGCACAAATAGCCCCTTGATGTCAGACGTCATGTTCGTCTGGTACACTGTGTTATTGAAATTAATTCACTCACAGTAACCCTCCCCCCCCAACTAGCCCATTATTCTCCCAAGAGTGTCATTACTTCAAATAAAAGTCCGGGTCGCTAGATCCCAGGAGGGCTTGGCGTCTGTGTTGCTGACCTTGTCATATCCAGTCCCAGGGAAGCAGTGAGTGTCCCTTTCCCTTTCTCAGCGTTTCAGCCCAGTCTTTGGTCATCCTCGGAAATAGAATCTTTTGTAAGATTTTTTTAATGTAATAATATAATAAATAATTATATATGGCATATCTATATATTACAATATCATATATGCAAGATAATTACTTCTTATGATTGCAGTTTTATTTCTGTAAATGCGTGCATCCCCAACCCCCACCCTTTCTCCTTCTGGAAGAAGTCGACTGTGCTGAACTAATCAGAGCTTGCAGGCGCGCGCGGCCCAAGGACCGATCCCTTACGAAGAGAAACTCACGCAATGTGATGGAAAGAGGTTAGCTCTCGCTCGCGGGCCAGTGGGGGGGGGGGGGCAGGACAGGCCTTTTCTCGACCGCATTCGACGCAGTCAGAATCACCAGGCAGCTCTTCAGGGCGTCTTCATGCATGGGGAAGAGGAAAGCCAATATGTAGTTCATTTCATATTTTTTTCCAATTAAGTAGCAACTGTTGTGCTTGCAACCTTACAGGCTGGCTTCACGGCAGTGAGATGAGCTGCGCTCTTTGACTTGTTTGTCCGAAAATAGCTATCGGTGATCCCAAGGCTAGTGCTTAATGTTTGTGAACACGATTTGTTTCCCTGTTGAAATACTTCTACAGAGCGGTATTTGTAAATGATCTGCACGGATTTACTGTAGGGGCAGAGGATAAAGGCCCTCGGGCAGACTTAAATGATTTTTCACCAAAATACTGTTTTGAGTGGAGGTTTGTCATTTTGATAAGCGAGAGGTGGGCTCATAGTTTGAGGACAATAAAGCTGGTGTACCGTTCAAAAGAGGATTCCCAGTGCAGATCAAAAACAGGCTGAATCTCTGGTTGTGGGCTATGCCCAAACCCTACTGTCTTGCTATGAAGACATGTGCCTTTTCCGCATCACCCTGCTCCTCTCCCCTTCACTTACTGTAGCATTTTGTATACATCTTAGGGGCACTTGTAAGTGTCAAAGGGAGTCACTGCTTTAGCAGCCTGCTTACTGGTAGGTGAAGGTGGTCTGGGACTTCAGCAGGTCAGTGAAGGAGGTGGTCTGTGGGGTGGGGTTTGCCACATCAGTAACCAATAAAATGCCGCAGTTGTCCCTTCTGTTTGATTAATTCTGCCCCACACTGCCTCCCGGTCCAGGATCCAGGAGGCCAGGATTGTTAATAGGCTGCAAACGTTGCAGGCGTGCGGATGGGGCCAGCCCGATCCAAGCTCTCTCATCCCCTCTGGATGCCGTACCGTCAGGGCGGGGAAATGAATGATGGTGTTTCAGCTGCATGAACGGCAAAGAGAAAATCACCTTTGGGCCTGCAGGAGAAGCGTGCTCCTGACAGATGGTCCTGGTGCATTGTCGGCGGTGCACTCCGAGCCGCGCAGTGCTGTGAGCAGCAGTGACCGACAGAACCATGTCCTTTGTGCAGCTCTCTGCTCCGGGCAAGGTTGAGGAATGACACGGCCAACTCCTCCAGCTCCCCGCAAGTGGGTCCTGCCCACACTCTCCAAGTGTTGTCCTGCTTTGTCAAAGTGACAATTAAACTCTCTTTAAGCCATGCATACTTAAAAATACTTCCTCCTGATTATATTGCAACTCCACAATGTCTTGTGTATCTACAAGCTACAGTAGGCTTGTGTTTGACACTGTGCCGGATCTGTCAGCTACAAATGTGCTGCATGAGCATCTGCATCAGACCCTGCATCATGCACAAAAAAGCTGCTTTTTTGTGTGCGTCTGATTTTTCTGTGCTTGTTGTGCCACATACAGTATCGGTTCATAAAGTCTGATCAATTAATTATGACTGGGGCTCTCTCTTTTGCATAGTTATCCTTGAGAAAACACAGTTTATAAAAAACAAGAAAGTGACATTACTGCAAACCTTGTGCAAAGATCTGCCTGGCTATTTCAAGTGCAGCCATATGGGGGCTGCAGTGCACAGTGGACACAGTCCTGTGGCGTCTTTATCTTGAGCGGGGATCATTGGCAGGTTTCCTCTTTAATGCAGTCGCCAAGGGAGCCGTAGACTTGAGATCCCATTAAACTCTCGCTCAGCTCTGCAGGCAGATGCTGAAATAGGTGGATGGCTCCATCAATACAGCTGCCCAGGGCGTGCATCAAGGAAACAGCCTCACACTGGACTTATAGATTTGCTCAAAGTGGCTCCATGTGTTAGTCTTGACAGTTGCTGCAGCACTGGCAAACGGGGCCACGAGCAACATGGACCATCCCTGGCTTTGCTTAATGATCCTTGTAAATTGAGGAACGTTAATCTGAAGTTAAACGATTTTTGGGTGGTGCGTTATGCATTGAAATTGAATTCTGCATGTTCCCTGGCCTCTATTTAGGGATAAGTCTATGTATCAGCTCTCTTTCTTTTCATGTCTGCTGCAGTGGTTCTGTGTCAAAGCCCTGTTGTCCATTCCTGCTCTGCACTGTTCTAAGGACCCATCACGGCAAACAAGAACAGGTTCTGTGAAGACGTCTCAGTGCTGGTGGCCAAGCAAGAAATCTGCTTCCTCAAGTGGCAAATTGAGGAAGCGGTGTTTTTAGAACACATTGTACTGTGGCTCCCCAGCTCTCTTGGTGAGAAAATGTGGCTTAGGAATTAGGTGGTAGAGTAATGTACAAAAAAAGACGACGATGAAGAAACATCTGTGAAATCAGAATGAGCCGGAATAGAGGATTAAAGTAGATGCATTGATCAGCAGACCGTGACGTGATTTTCCTGTCATGATACATTAGTAGGGTCTGTTCAGCCAGTAAGACATATGTTGTATGTTTAACTAATGTTTGTTTTGTAAAGCCTTGTAATTCTGGTAATTTGATCAAGTGCAGAAATACTGTCTAAAATTTTTAAGGTTTTTAAGGCTGTTGGTATAATGTTAGAAACCTGAAATCTAGAAATCTGCACTCAGCGGCTCAAAAACATTTGAGAGACATAAGAGCCCCGTGTTGAAGGTGGGATCCAGATGTTTCTGTAGTGAATATTTTTATTGCTTCTGGAAAGGGAGGACCAGTATTGTCCAGCAGTCCAGTGCCAACATGCCCATTACAATGCCTCATGGGAATTAAAAGAAAAAATACCCACATTAGCCCCAGGACCGGACAATGGACTGTGTCTGTTAAATTCAGCAGTGCGCGTGAAAGCTGTGTCCTGCAGGAAAGAAATCAGCTCCCTGCGGGCGTGCTCGTCCCCAGCAGGGGCCTTGTAAGAGCCCAGCAGAGGAAAGATGACAAAGCCGTGTACAGTGTGTGTGCGTCCGCCCCCACACGGGTTTGGTGAGGAGGAATAATGATAGCGGGGTGTCTCTGCACAGCCTTGAGCGACAGGCTGTGACGCTGTCCTTGGTACTGCACACAGGAGTTTGGAGGTGACCGAGGGAGTCAGCCGCACGTTGATGCCCAATAGCTCTCAGTTCCCATTTGCACTTCCGAAGATGGTCAGAGAGTCCATCAGCACAGCAGCCAAAGCTCAAACTGAAGGCAGCCCAGCCCAGTTTCTCAGCTGTCCGTCCATACGGAGTGAGCAAGCATGCGCGTCCTGGCGGTTTGTGTGGACGCTTTCCTCTCTATTTCAAGTGCCCCCTGATATACGCAGTTCTCTCTAGCCCTTCCTGCTGGGATCATGTGCCATGTTGGCTAAGGGTGTCAGCAATGAGCCGCTGAAAAGAGTTCACAGCTCAGTGAGACATGTTGTAGAGAGGAAGCACATCCCAACTTTCTGATCACTGACAATGAAAGTCGTGGTTTTATACTGATTGACACTGAGCCGTGAGAAGTCATTTGTGCTGGTGGCAAGGACAGATCAGGAGCGAGTCAGGGTACTACTGTACATGCAGACAACAGCCAGGGCATGGAATAACTGGCAGATGGGAGTGATGTGTAAAATCTTCTTCAGACATTCAACTCTTTCAAGCTTTTCTATGTTTTCGACATTTTACCAATTACAATTAAAGGGTGCAGATTCTCTAAAGCACGGTACCTTGCCCGAGGTTGCACATCATTAAATCCTAACTGCGGCTGAGGACTGCCAAGGAGGGTTACTCATGGTGTGTGTATGCTGGTTTGTGCAGGTAGCCCTGCTCAGAGCAGCCCGCTGCTGGCCTCCCTGTCTGTCCCAGGACGCCCCCTGCAGCCCCAGCTGGACCTTAAACACTTCCTCCCCTTCAGGCTCAACAGCTCTTCCCCTCTCAGCCTCTTCCCCAACTTCAACACGGTGAGTACCACAACCCGCATGCTGTGCACATCTTTCTAAGTTCAGTGTTAATAGTTCTGTAGATGTCTGGACACTACCTGTCATATGTCATGAATAATGTGTGCATACATCTTTTGTTAATTGTTTCTATATTGTATTGTCTGTGACCCATATTGTGTATGATTCGTCTTTAATTCCTTAATTGATACAGCTTATAGTTAAAAAGTCAACCTTAATGAAAATCCTCGCTATTCACATGAGTGATATTTGCACTTGTTTCCCAGTAACATGTACTCAGAATGAATAAAAGAGATGTCTGATAGACCTGACTAGAGTTGTGCAGTAAAGGGGTGGTGCTAAATGAAATGGTACTGCAAATACAAACTTGTTAAGAAGGATTAGCAAGTCAAAGGTGTTCCATAATTGAAGACATACTGTATAGGGGATTAGACTTGGAAAAACTGTACTCGAAACTGTGAACTGCTCTCTAAACTGTGTGACTTGAAGCAAGATATTGGTCTCACTTTCTTACTTTTACTGCTTGTTTCTCAGTGATTCAGAGGCAATTTCAGGCATCGGGTCAGTTTTTCTCCGGAGCTGGACTGAAAGAAGGACGCAGGGTTCTGGCAGGAGTGTCAGCTCCTTCAGTGGTCAAAACGAAAGTGTTCCATGGGTTGTGATTCAGGAGGGAACCATGTAGCCCCCTAAATTGTGGATTTCCAGGACAAGGGCTGGCCAGCCCTACTGCAAGGCTTGAAAGCCCATTAGACCTTAGTTTCCTTTTTCCAGAGTCCTGTCAAATAAGCGTTAAAAGGCCAAACTCAAATGAGTGCCACTTCCCGCAATAGAAATACTGCTAGACTAGACCATCTGTGACAGCTTCTCCATAATGCACCATGTCAAGCTGCCACACTCTGCAATGTTTGAGTCTGCTGCCTTTTCTGCCTGGTGTTGTTACATACCTATCATCTCTGTGTCGAGGCTGTGTATTGTAGCCTGATTTGAGCTGTTTATTTCCTGTGTTCAGACAGGCCGTCTGTCTACTGCAGCGGAGCAGTCTGCGAAGCTGTGCAGCGTGCAATATCATGGGATTGCGACTTTTTTTTTTTCAAATCACTCCGTGTTTTCTGCCAGTGTGTCATGTTTTCTGCAGGCATGCTCCTTGCTTTCTTAACTGGGCACTGACAAGACTTATCATGAGGGGAGACATGTGGTCCCTCTTTCAAGCACATAATCTAAAAGCGAATTCAAGGGGAACTGATTCATCAGTTAATTAAGCCTTTTCAGCGTGCTGGCCTGGTAGGAGGAGAAAGCTGTCATGCACTATCTTTGGAAGTCTGAACAAATCTTCTTTTAGCACAGAGGCACGGTGTCTATCCGTGCGCGATTTTCTAGCCATCTAGAGTTTTTACATTGATTTTGTGCCTCATTTCTTGTTTTAATCAATTTTGTAAAAGAATGAAAAGAATCCAATCACTTAACAGCAAAAAACAAATTCCCTCGCTTTTGTGTACGTCTCAAACAGTTCCTGGAGGGCCCAGTGTCTTCCAGCTTTTGTTCCAACGTGACTTATTTTAATCAGACAATTCATCTAAATAGTTTCTCAGATATGCAAAGGATTTTTTATGGCCTTATACATGATTACCTCAACATTCATATCATTACAAATACACTTACTTACAGTAAATTTCAGAGCCTGGATAGAAGTATTGCACTTAATTAAATAGAAAATTGAGGAACTGAGAGCATGGATTGAACAAAAACTCCTTGTAAGGTTATCTCCTTATTGCCTAACTGTAGTGTATGATCATTTGTGCTGTAGGTCTATTAGAGAAAGATATACACAAGAATCTGACACCTGTTGTTGCCTAAAATTACCAATGTGACAATCCATTTAAACTATTTTTGATGCAATAGCTCATTGACAGTGTAGTTTTTTTTCTAGATGGTTAATACTGTAGGGCAGCACCATAAGAACTGTCATAGTAGTGTAGAGAGGTGGCAGGGCCACCTCACAACTGGCAGGGCCCAGCTGGGTTCGCCCCATCCCGCTGGTGAAATAGGAACTCCCTCAACTCTGAGAGTGCGAACCGTGGAAGAAGCAAGTCGTATGGAAGATATACCCATGTAATGAAAAAGATGTAATGATTTTCAGAAATTGAAAATCGTCAGCCTACAAGACCAAGTAGCCCATCACAGCACTTTTCAAAGTGCATAAAACACTTTTAGACACAGTTCTCCTTGGTCTCAAGACCTGTAAAACAGGCGAAAGATAAATGCGCAGTTTCAGCAGTTTCTTCTGAAGCCTGGCTCTGCCATCTCCCGATGGCCTTTGTCGGCAGTCGAGAGATGAGAGAGGAGGGAGAGCGAGAGGGGGAAAAGAGAGGAGAGAGATAGAAAGAGATAGAGAGGGACAGAAAAAGGAAGAGCTAAAAATGGAGAGAGAGCAGGGCACAGAATGTGGACATTAATTGGCCTCACGCTCAGGCTGTTAAGTGCATTGGAGAGCACTTCATGCGCAGCACGCTAGGTAAATTAACCCTGCAGTCCTGCTGTGGCAGGTGCCCGTAATTAGGAGTCCTCACAGCGTTTCCATGGCCTTAAGGAGGGGCCCAGCGCCTGCCTTTGTATTCTGCAAAGGGGCATCTGACTCTTGTCGGGCCCTCAGCTCTGCCTTCCCAGTTTGCCATTCATTAAAATGCTGGGTAGGTAAATAAAGCTGCATAGCACAAACAGATGTGCCATTAATCACCTGGCATTGCCACTGCCTGCCTTTACCTCTGGTCTGGGCTCCGCAAGCCTGATAATGACTGTGTTGTTCTGGCGTGTGCCTTGCCTGTGTGATGAATGCACCTGTCTCAGTAACTAAATAGCTGCCCCCCCCCCCAACCAGCCCCACTCCCCCCTCCAAGAAACACAACCATCCCCTCAAAGCCCAGACCGCATGGAAGTGGGGGGGTGCCGTGATCAGATAATTCCCCTTGGCGGCGAGCTTGGCGGGAGACAACGGCCTCATTTATAGGACTGCAAAGCCTGGCTGCAGCCGGACAAAGGCTGCATTCTCCGCTTCTAAAACAAACAATTGTGCACAGTTTCCCCAAAGACGGTGGGATCTTATTAAACACTGGTGCCGATGCACGGGCCTCGTTCAGCCAGCGAGCTCCTGTTGCTCCCAGTTCTCAAACGAGTGGGGCTGACGTCACGCAGCCAGGGAGCCGCCATCGAGAGTGGCAGATGAAAGAGAGAAGAAGAATGCCCCACTGCCGCCAGTGACGCACGCTGAAGTTCGACAGCAGGTCTGAGTTCTGCTCCCGAGCCGCGCGTCTGGCGGAGAGGAGGACGGAGGATCGCAGGCAGGAGGCAGTGATGGAGGGTTGTAGCCCCCAGCTGTGCAGCGAAATTAAACCCCAAACGAAGAAGTCATCTCAGATAGATGATCTTGTGCCGTAACAGAAATAAGTGTTTTGTTGGGGTTTTTTTTAAAGAAGAGTCCCGGCACTTCATTTTCTCACAGCTCTGGGCAGGCCTGCGCTGTGTCGCGGCGCCCAATCAGTCTCCCGCGGCGCTCACTAGAACAGATCGGCGGGCTCCTGTTTAAATGAAGATCGCAGAGGGGAGCCCAGAGCTGCTGGTGGGAGTTGATTAGCGGCGCTTATTGGCAGCTGGGAGGGAGTGACTGCCCTTCGGGGGGCCCCGGAGAGGGAGGGGTTGGGGGCCCGTGCCGGGGAGGACCCGTTCTGCTGGAGCTCCGTCTCGATCCCGCGGCGCAGAGAGGTTGATCTGGCGGCTGCAGATGAAGGACAAGTTCGAGAACCCCTGATGCAGAGGAAACCTGTCTCTGTTTTAGCGTCCGTTGCTTAACGCATAAGGACACAGATGCCCACGACCTGGAGAGCTGACATGAAGACCCAGCCATGATTAGTAGTAGCAGTAGAGGAGTTGATTGTCATATGTACAAGTGCATTGGAATTCTTATTCATGCTGATCTCCTGGGGTTCTCGATGATCTCTCGAGATTAGTACACTTGATTACAGGCTGCTGCGCTGTAATTGGGATTTTACATCAAGCCTATGGCAGATGCAGGCAGAAACATTGTCCATGTAGGATGCATTGATTTAGTTGTTGTTGTTTTTTCCAAGATGTAAATGCTTTTACTTTCTTCCTCATTGTTGAGCTGGCGGACGCGGTGGGTTTGCGAGAGACATTGGAAGCTTGGACTGTCGAACGCAAAGAACGCGTTAAAACAGTACTACAGAAACAGTGGGCCTCCTGCAGGAAAACAGCTCATATTCTACTTTAAAAAAATAAACAGGCTACCGAGAGGCTCAATCAAGCCAAAAAAATATTTTGCTCAGATAGCAGAGTAAGCCCTATGGCCTAGTTAATACTTAAACAACTGGATGTGATTCTCAAAGGCACACAATTGCCAGAATGATGATGAGGATAGAGTGGTTTTAATAATCAGGCACATCTGGCAATCAGCTTCTCTCTTGGAACATGCATGACATCAGCGAGAGCCCCCTTCTCCTGTTGGTGTTAATTCTCCTGCCAGGCTCTGTTAGGGGGCCGGAGAGCTAAGTCTGATATAACAGGAGCCTCACAACTGGTTAGCTACATGCTAAAATGTTGGGCAATTACAAATTTATTAAAAGCAGTCTAGCAAATATTGCAATAAGCCCATGTCAACAACTTAATCTTCCAAAAACAGCCCAAGTCAGAACGTGACGTTGCTGAATATCTGGTCTTGTGTTGTATGGTTGCAAGTGAGAATTACTTCACTTACAAAACAAAAACTAAACCTTTACTAGACAGGTCTCTCGATGTGACTGCTTGCTCACAGAAACCTCTATATCGAAACGCAAGCACCAAAACATCACATTAACCTTTCTTTTTTTCAACTTTTTCAGCTCTCAGAAGCATGCAGTATACATTATTGCCCCTATTGCAAAAAGTGGTCAGTCACCAACATAACTGTGTCACTTTGGCATTTTGTTGAAATATTAAAGTATGTGTCAGTAACTGGCTTCTGCTGTAGTGAGTATACACTGTGTTGCATTTCAGAATAACTGAGTGTTAATATTTTTACGGTATATTTAATGTGCTGTGCCAAAGTCATTCCTGCTCCCATTAAAGGGTTTATATGCACCTGCCAATATAGATATTACTGATGTGTATGTATAACAAGATGGAAATGCTTCACCTCTGTTTGCCTAGCCACTGGAGGGATGACCATGTCAAGGTGCTGTTCAGTGGCAGAGTTTTGATCTTGTCTGGAAGTGTGTTCGACTTACAAAACGACAGGCTTTGCATTTATAAATTATCTTCCAAAATGCTTAAATTTGGAAAAAGATCAAACCGTTTTAAAATGATTTGGGGATCTTTATAAGAAACCAAACGTACTTATTTATATGTCTTGGAGCATATGAACCCTTTCAGCAAAAGCTTATAAAGAGTAATGTAAACAGTACCTTTCACCGCCAACGTGATCATAATACGCCACTGTCAGTTTTAAACCTGTCCAGATCGTTCTTTGTCTGTGACTTTCCTTCCCAAATGCTCACTGCTGTAGAGGGATTGAGTGTCTGAGGGCAGTAATGATGAGCCTCCCATTCCACAGTTTTTTTTATCCAAGTTACAGACTGTGAGCTCTTGTACAGTACATGGTATAAGCCCACATCTGGTGCAGTAAGTCTCATGGCTGCACTCGTTGGCTGAGCTAGATGTGGAGGCAAAGGTAATATTTAGGGTGTCCATATCACTCTGCATTCATCCAAATAGAAAGATGTTAATTTTAAGAATCCAGCATTACACCAGGGGTCTTCTGAGAATTGTGTACCGTTGGGTCTAGGAGGTGGATGGTTATCCCATGTCTCTGTCTCCTGCAGATGGACCCCGTGCAGAAAGCTGTGATCAACCACACATTTGGGGTGCCCCAGCCCCTCAAGAAGAAACAGATCATCTCCTGTAACATCTGTCATCTGCGGTTCAACTCCACGGTCAGTCTCTAGCTGAGCCCGTTTTCTCGCTTTCTGTCTTTCATTATCACACTGTTTCATCTCTCCGCCTTCATCTCCGTGTGCATCTTTCCCCTGCTCCCTGCCTCTAATAAGGCCATGGCCTGCACCTTTCTAGCTCTCTGCTCAGTGTCAAAGTGACGTCTCGAATTGGAGAGGCGCGTTCACAGCCCATCTGAAGTGTGGACTGAGGAGAGGTCATCCCAGCAGGTTGAGACAGACTGTTAATGAACAGCAGATGATTAGGTGGAAATGTAAAGGAAGGGGTGCAGATTGCGGTCTCGGAGCCTCCTGGGAGACTTTCTAGGCTGGCTCATGAGGGATTGATGCAGTTCCCTTGTCCTTACATGTACTCCCAGGCACAGCCCTTTGGAATGGCCAAAAACGTCTCAAACACATGCCCTACCACTGGTGACCTTAGCTGAGTTTCGAATTCCTAGGGTTGAATAAATGGCCGTTAAGTTCCCTTTGCGGTTGTTTGTGATACTTCTTCTAGGTTAAATAAGAATCTTTGCAGTTAAGATGTTCTTGTAAATTCACGGGAGTGAGTTAACATGCTCTCTCCTGTACTTCCATAGGTTCTGTCCAGGTACTCCAGTCCCCACCTCTCAGAGACACACTGTACGGCACTGTCTACTGAGCCCTGAGGAAAGTGGCTGGACTTTCTGCGTTATTGTGTGTCTGTGAGGTGGTTGGCTTTGTAGCCTCCGTCTCTGGCAAGCAAGTCTGGCAGTACAGATGTGTAGACAGAAATCTGTTCAAGACAACGTCAGACCTAATAACAAGGGCCGCTCAGTGGGCCGGTAGCTGTTCTGTGTCGTAGGGCCTCACTGGAAGAAAGGCAATAAAGAATACCTGTGCCCAAGTATGTGGCTTACGTCACGCCAGAGAGGCTCCCGAAAGGCTGTCAGCACCCCAAAAACAGGATCGGGTTGTGCTGCCTATCAAAAGAAACCAGGAGCCTTTCTGTCTCCTCTTTTTCTGTGGAGGAGGAGGGGGGGAGGTAGAAAGAGGCCTGGAGAGTCCACTTATCACAGAAAAGCAGAAGCTGTGGTGTGCTCTGGCAGAACTCCTTCCCAGAGATTCGGGCACAGGTCCCCCTGGAGAGCACCGCTCTCAGTGTATCTCCACAGAAAGAGGGGAAGAACTGAGAAAAAGGAAAAAGAGAGCGAGCAGGCTGAGAAGCTGAAACATCTGGAGATTTAGATCCTCCATCTTAATACAGAAAAACGAATTACAGTTATCAGCTCAGTGATACGGGCATATTTTAAGACGGATGATGAAATTCATCATTATGCTGTCATAACAATCCTGTGGAGAAAAACTGTTTTTTTTCTCCTGAAATTAGCAGCATCTGTTAGGCAAGGCAATGACTGAAAAAAGTGTGTTTAAAATCCCTGACAGTGTGTCACTTAACCTATGCTTCTAATTTGGGTTTCTTTAGTTTGGCTAGATAGACTTCTGCATTGTTGTGTATTATTTATTATATAAACATTTGTGTACTTACACCAGGCAAAGTTATTACATCCCCATGAAGTCCAGAGTATTACAGCATTTTTTTTTTGCATGGTAAATCTAGAAAGATCATATTTAAAAGCTGATTTAAAAATGCTAAGTAATCCTTTAATCAGTTTTAAGACCAGATCCCCAAATACCTAATATATTATGCCTGTAAAAGAAAAACATGTTTTAAATTATATTCTGTATTAATACAACATTCCTGTAGTACAACCTCTTAAAATCATGTCTTTTAAAAACCGACGTGCTACTGTATTTCAATGGATCTACATAATTAGTACTGATCTGAAAATGTGTTTAATCTGGATCCAAAGAGCTAAATTCCTCTTTGTTTTTTGCAAACAGAAATTCTGTTAGGCTTGTTATTTTTATAAACCCGAAAGCCCATTCATTTGGTCTGTCCTCTTTGCAATACCGAATAGTAAATCCCAGTGGCATACAGTACAACAAACAGTACCCCCTCCTGGCTTTGTGTTGTAACTACTCCATTCCTCGGTTTTAATACCCCCGTGAAAAATCAGAAGCAAATCATCAATCATCTGAGCAGTGTGATTGAGGCAGAGCGTGGGCATCCGAGTAATGAAAAGCAGAATGAGCACGAGATTATTAAAGCCTTGTGTCACTACCTTTGAACTAATTAACAATCGATACGATTCTCTTTCATAACGCTGTCTTCTTGCGTCCCCTTCATCTTTTCTATTAGACAGGCTGTCAGTGAACCGGTCTGAAATTGCTTTTTCTTTTTTCACTAATTCAATTCATTTTACTCTTATTTGTATCGGGACTTTATTTTATTGCTTATTTGCATTTATATGACAGAGTGAAAGTTGGGGAATTCTAATGAGGCTTTCCTCGAAATGAAACTGGAGGTCATTTTTATCACAGGTGAGCAGAGAGACCATATTTCACCGATGTGACACCCGTTTAATGACATAAATTAAAAAATAAAAAATTAGTGCTTCAGAAAATTGAAGTTTGGGTCATTACAGCCTTGATAGAGTTTGCTTATGTTTCTGCAGTTGTAATAATCAGGCAGGGTGCAGGGACACTGCCATACACATTTCAGCCTGCAAGTCGAGAGGACTAAGTGTTTCTTTTTATAAAATGTTGAGATGCTAATTATTTTTGCTGAATGCAAAAGCTACTAATTTCAGAAGGGAAAATAATTAATCCCTCATCAGCTCCCCATGCTTCTACACTACTCCACTCCAGGAAAGATGATGAAAAAACTAAATCTCAAAACAGTTTTGCACTGCAAGAACAGAGGACTGACAGAGCCATCACAGAGTCACCTTTGTGATTAGGTTCTGCAGCCTGTGACATAGAGGAGGGATTTCTGAGATAAGGGATTTAAATTACAATGGGATTTTTTCCATAACTAACAGCACCCCTCCTTGACCATGAGTTGCAATTGCTTTTTTGTAAGTTTCACGTATGGATGACAAAATGCCCAACACAAAACAGAGCATGCACGAAAACAACAGTATCGGGTTGATTTGTGCACAACCCAGGGCCTGACACTGAAGGAAATGTACGTGAAGGAATTCATATTGCAGTAAAACCTGATCACGCTTACTTTGGGAGAGGGCGTACTGGAATATGGCTGTGCTGTAAAAAGTGTCCAAAAGTTGGAGTAAGCCCACCCCCGTGGAAAAACATTGCTGAAGTAAAAAGGAAAAGCAGAAAATGTGCTGCTCTCAATTCCAGAGGTACATCCAGCGCCCGCTGAACAACATCTCACCCCCTGCGCCATCACCGTATCACCAAAAGCGATTTATCTCTGCTTCAGCGCTTCCTCTTGGCAAAGATGTTTCAAACATATTAAAACACCAGATGTCCTGCCTGCGCTTTCGCTGCATGAAACAGTTTGCATCAAACCATCAGTCCTGTTCTCCAGCACTAACGAATAATCACTTTTTAGGCACTATTAGCATTGATCCCCGCTGGGGAGTATCTTTCACAGTGGGTTAATCAGTTAAACCCAGAAGAATTCCTGCTCCCCCAGCCCCCCCCAAGTCATTTGAAATTGCTCTGCAGAAGCAGCTAGTGAAATCTCAGAATTGCAGATTGGTTTTATTGCTTAATTCTGTTCCTTAATCGTATTTTCTACTACTTGCATCCCTTAATCACGCCACATTTGATTACTATTATCCTTATTCTTTCTAAAGTTGTTTTCTTTGTTTTTGTTTCTTAATTAACTTGTTTTGTTATCCGTGGCTATGCTTTTGTTTTACTTTCTAGTGGGGTTTTTGAAGACCCGCCTTTAATTCTTTTTACTGCTTGTCTGGCTTTAACAGTGGCAAGCTTAGCCATCTCTTGATTTCAGGAAAAAGGAAAGCCAATGTCGCCTTCGATAGCAGGGTTTTGAAAGCGTATCACTGTTGCGATTCACAAGTCTCCAGCCAGGCAGAGTGTGAGCCTCAGGACTGAGGACTGGTTCTGGGGTGATTTGTGCCTTAGTGGGATGGGAGGGGTGATGACTATAGAAACTGTCTTGACGGAGAGGGAAATAAGCGACCAGTCGTTCCTTTCAGTTCCAGTAATTATACTACAGTAGCTAGTAGTCACTGTCACAGTGGCTTATAGAATAAGGCAGAAAGCCATTACGTTCTGGCTAATGAATTGAAGGCCAAGCAATGTATCGGTGGACCTCAGTCTGTTGCAGTAGCATTCTCTTTTAATACATTAAAACAGCACATGAGCTCAGATCCTAAGGCAACCTGTCTGAAAGACCAGGAAGGACTTCATTAGTAATTATAATAATTGCTTACACTTATATGGCGCTTTTCTGGACACCACTCAAAGCGTTTTACAGGTCATGGGGATCCCCTCCACCACCACCAGTGTGCAGCCCCACCTGGATGATGCGACGGCAGCCACAGTGCACCAGTACACTCCCCACACACCAGCTCTCAGTGGGTAGAGAACAGAGTGATGAAGCCAGTTCAGAGATTGGGATTATTAGGAGGCCATGATTGGTAAGGGCCAATGGGAAATCTGGCCAGGATGCCAACTAGAACAAACTGGAACAAGCTGCCTGGCCTTGCTGTCAAAGCTGACACCCTGGTTTGTACGCTTCTGTACATGAGCCAGGATTGTCTCCCCTTGCTTATAACCTTTCTTATGTTCTTCAGAGCACTTCCTTCCCCATAGTTCCCTCTTGTTGGGAGCACACACCACTCCTGTGTTTGTGATTCATTGTTGATTCTGAACAAGTCCCTTAGGTTGACTGTCAAAGCTTTTAAGGGCGCCGAGTGCTTTAGAATTCAGACACTAGTTTCCCCTTCGCATCCAGATTTGAAGTCGGTAGGAGTAACGACACCAGGAGTTACAGTAAGGCTTCTGTGTATTGAGCCTGCTAGGGAATGCAATGTCACTCCCTTGGAACTGGCTTCTCCCACAGCAGGAGGGCCGGCCCTTTGGCATAGGAGAATTCACCGCTGTCCAGGTCGGCAGCATGTGAACTACTTAAACTACTTCTAGGATTTATATATTGAATATTTGTCCTTACTTTTATGTAATGCTTAAGCACAGGTCAGTAGAGCAGCAGCACCATGTGGCTCTGAAATTGAAGGTGCCAGTGAGTGGCCATGACTGAATCCCAGCGGGAGCAGAGCTGCACACGTTACACCTTCCTCCTCCCTCTAAAGCAGGGAAGACAGGGTAGACAGGCTCGACTAGCGAAACAAGGGCACAGATGCATGTACGAAAGGCCTAACCGGAATAAGTGCTGTCAAAATGAGGGCTCGGTAAAGTGCTGGCAATCTCCGATAACTGCAAACCGTTTTCTGACTCTTTTATCAGAAGCCGCTGATAGCGCCGGCCTCCTGCAGACTCTAAGTTCAGAGAGAATGTCGTTCAGCACTTAAGTGCCAAGTGCAGGGTGTTGGGTTGTTAACATTTTAGTGTCTGCTGGCAATTACCAGCCTGAATAATGGCAGAAATTACCCATTGAACGCTAATGGAGAAGCTCTTAAAAAGGTTTTCACTTGATAATGAAAGACCCCTTTTATTTATTTATTTTGCTTTTTATTATCTGTTGTTGTGAGTTCGGGCCTGTAATTTGGGGATGATGGGGGCCAGGGAAATTGTGCCTCTACAGCAGTGTTTTGAAAATGACAGGAGGTGTCAGTGGCGATGGGGATGGGAGGGGGGTGGGTGCACGTATTGACTGAGGAAGACGCTTGAGAGTGAGCTCCCATTGTGCATGCCAGCACTACACTTTTAAAAGGTAGTTATGCAGATAAGAGGCGGCCTTGTTGCACATCACAATCACATAATAATACCGTTGGTTTCCTGTGTCTGTGTCGGGGTTCTTATCAGGCATGAGCAGGCTCTCACCGGCAGGCTGTCCTGTATTGTTTCTTGTTTGACTGGAGCCCTGCTTCTGAATGTAAATCACATGTAGCCAGCCAATGTCTTGATAATAGGCGACATATCCCCCCTAGAATTTACATCAGCAATTCGTTGTGCGTCGTTATAAATTCCCTTCGGAGGGCACATACTGTTCTGGAGCCGAGCGCTCTCCATGCTGGGGAAAGCTTATCAGCAGTGACAACACTGTCCTCTTATTTTTTTATCACTTTGCTTTAAATTGCAAATGGCACCATCACTCCGGGTCACCGAGTCTTCCTGCTATTAAATAGAAGCAAAGCAGGGCACTCTGTTCTGGCTCGTCCTGCCTGCACCGCGACTGCAAAGGCAGCAGCCCCTCCATGCCAATGGCCGCCTGTTCACGTCCGTGGGTGGACTGGGCCCCCCGTCACCGGGGTGCGACTCCTGCGGAGCAGAGACCCCCATCGTCCGCCATGTTTTCTCAACCAGCCAGACACCAGCGCCTCGTACTACTGTGTCATAGAACTTCACAAAGACCTGGACTGCTGCATCTCGCCAGTACAGAAAAAGGCCAACAAGTACAACAAGGAGCCCCACTCTTTTACTGTGCTGGGTAACGGCCTGGTTTGAAAGAGACAGGATCATGTTGTTCAGCTACAGTCTGGACATGACGAATGCAGTTGGTTAAAGACATATGACCCCTTTTCCACTTTATAACATCTGTAGGTCTCTGAAGGGCGACTGGCTCAGGTAGCAGACGTTGCAACACTGGACATAAAGCTGTCTTGCGTACCCTTTTTGGGTACACAAGGAATCGCATCATGAGGTTCTCAGGTCAGGGAGCTGCTAGCAATAAGACAAGCAAGCTGGGGATCACTGGCCTTCTCTCGTTTCTGACTTTTATTACTCCTGTTGCTGCTCGATCGGATGTCCGAGAGCAGGGAGGGCCAGGCGTGGCCTGGTGGTGACGCAGATGAGCATGTTCTCTCCGTGAGATGGGGAGCTAGGCGGGCGCGATGTGTCTGAGCTTTTGCTTTTTAAACCTTCTTGCCACACAGAACCAAGCGGAGGCCCACTACAAAGGACACAAGCACACCCGCAAGCTGAAAGCCATCGAAGCCCAGAAGAACAAGCAGAGGAGCTCGGGCGCCGCGGTGTCGGCCGGGAGGGAGAGGGAGAGGGACCGGGAGAAGATCAGGGTCCCCGAAACGCTGCCCGCGCTCATGGAGCGCAGTCTGATGGACACCACCAGTGAGTACCCCCCCGAAACCAAGAAAGAGAAAAGGGCCGAAGCAGGTTCACTTCTTGTCCTTCTTTTTTCTTTTTCTCCTGCCTTTCCCTCTCCCTGTCCTCTTCAGATATTGTAGAATTTGCAATAAACAGGCCACTCCAGCATCCTCCCCTCCCATTTCCAGTTTTTCTGGGCGACATGAGCCAGTGGCAAACTGTTTCTGTGGTCTCTGCTGGCGCTCTGTACCACCTGCAACAAGGGACACCCCATTCTGAGACCCCAGTGCTCCCCAGACCATTCCTGAGGAGCTGGTGAGCCAGCAGGGGCTGGGCCTGCAGGAGTAGCAGCTGCAGGTGATTTATTGTACCATTCAGCTTTTCTCTCTCTCTATTCGGCAGACGGGCCCAAATATAGTGAACCTGATCCATCAAGGTCTCTTTTTCGTGGTGCTGCAGGAATGATGCTGCACTTTAGGTAGAGAGATGAAAACAAAGATAGGGCCCTGTGGCGATGGGGGTGATCCTTCGGCACCTGGCCACCAGAGACACAGCAACAGACCGAATCCATCAGCTTCACATCTGATGGTTTCAAGTGAAAAGATAATTAAGTAGGGGGAAAAAAGAGTAGCTGAGAGGTAGTTCAAGTAGGGGGCTGCATCAGCATGCGTGGGCTGCAAAGGAACAGGTAAAGGTTAATTCCACGCTGAAAGGAAAAGAGAAACAACGTTTCAGCTGTGGAGCCTCCTTCAGGTGTGGCCTAGTGGTATGATAAACCTTCTCCCTGCTGTTGCCCCCCAGGTGCTCAACAACAGATTAGCGCAGGAACAAGCATGCCGATGTGTACTTGTGTGGTTTAAAGGGCTACAGTGTGTGGTGACATAAAAGTTATATGAGGTTTGAGTGAGAAGCTACATCACCATGCAGGTTGCAAAGGATGAACTTCGGCATGAAATTAACCTCTGTTTGGTTTGTTCCATACAAGCTATATGACTACTAGCTGTTCCATTTCTGTACTATTAATAGAAACTGACATTGGTTTACTTGATCACACTCTGGGCGTATGTGATAATGGCTAAAGAATATAAAAGTGTAAGGAGCCTGAGAGGGCACATTCCACCAACTCGAGGCTGCGTCTGCCTATTCCTGGCGTGACATCACTGCCCACAGCTTTTTATCCTCCCCTCCCCCAGAAATATCGCTCTTATCTCTGGTGTTACACCTATCGAGAAGTTACACAAGATCAATAATGCTAATGATCCATTATTGGTATTCCTGTTCTGTTTCTGCTGACAGCTGTTAATACACTGCACAGTAGACAGAGGACGCTTTCTTGACAACTGCTCCAACCCACATTTCTGAAGCACTTCAGAAAGTGACAGCAAGCCAGTGGCTCAAACAGGCTAGTATTACAATGGGGAAATGGCGGTGTTAGAGTAATATTGTAAAAAAGAAAGTTTCATGATTGAGTGCTCAGTAAGGCTGGAGGGCTCCCTACTCCCCACCACCCCAGCTCTGGGAGGTGGGCAAGGTGCCACCTGCTGCCATCTGGCTCTGCCATCACCAGGATGGCTGGAGATTTTATTCTCTAAAGACAAATAAACAAACAGGTTAATTAAAGGGGAACTTCAGTCCCAATTTCTCAGACCGGTTATTAAATCAGGGTAACAAAATAAATCCATTGACGGCATCACAAAATTTTAACAAATTCTGAATGAAACACAAAATTGTGAACTTAGTGAAAGTACTGTATGGTCGCCCTGTTGTCGCAAACCACGCAAGTCCGTGTGAATGGCCCTTTCCCCTCACTAGTGTCCATAGTGACTAATGTAATGCGATATACGAGTGAATCAGTACAGGTTGTGTTGCAGATATTATGCAAAGATATTTTGGCTTTTCCACCGCACAACAGTTATTAAGCCACACTGTTCGGGCGCCCTTCACTCCGGCCAATAATCCAAGCAGGTGTGATCTGGGTCTCCCAGCTCAGACTTTTTTTCGCAGTGTTTTATTAACTAACGAAAGATGAACAGTAATGCAGAAATGTGTGTGGTGTGTTGCTTAATTGATGCAGTCATTACTTTCATGTCAAGAGCAGCTTTGAAATGTTAATAATAATAATAATAATAATAATAATAATAATTATTAATAATTTCTTACGCTTATATAGCGCTTTTCTGGACACTCCACTCAAAGCGCTGTACAGGTAATGGGGATCCCCTCCACCACCACCACCAGTGTGCAGCCCCACCTGGATGATGCGACGGCAGCCATAGTGCGCCAGAACGCTCCCCACACACCAGCTCTCAGTGGGGGGAGGAGAGCAGAGTGATGAAGCCAGTTCATAGATGGGGGTTATTAGAAGGCCATGATTGTTAAGGGCCAATGGGAAATTTGGCCAGGACGCCGGGGTTACACCCCTACTCTTTTTTGTTGTTTGGTCCAAGGGTGACCCAGAGGCTTGCTCTGCAGTGGCGCTTTTGCCAGAAGAAGGCATGCTTGCACACTCAGGTACACACAGGAGTTCATAGTCCCCATCCGTGCTTGCAAGCCCACCAGGAAGAAATCACAAACCACGCAAGGGGGCTCTGGCTTGTAGATCAATTTGAGAAATTTAAGAAGCAACTGAGATTTTGAACTCAGACTTTCTGTGGGAGCCAGGAATGAAAAGCTGACAAAAGCCTGGCGCAAAAAGCCTTCCCCATCCAATTTCGCTTCGTATTCTTCAGCGAGGAGCATCTGAAAAGACTGTGGGGAGACAGAGAGCGAATGAAAGAAAAAAAAAACTGGGCAGACGAGCAGATAAGCCGCAGCTCACTTTATGTCCTGAATAATCTTACACTTCCAAGGCAATTTCATGACAAGGAATGATCCTTAATAAACTCACTTGTGTAATTCATCTAATGTGAAATTGAAATGCATCAGAGCAGGCAAGCCTCACTGTCTGACAATGTGGCTTTGTAATGTGATAATGCCCAGAATTAACGCTGTATGAAATTAGCTGCATTTGTAACCCATATTAACAATATGCAAGCAAGGCCTGGATTCATGATGAGTGGAAAATGCTGAACAATATGCGATTCCTACTATGAATAGCTTGCCATTTGACTTCTTCAAAGGCTGGAAATGGGTTCAGTTAACAGTACTGTTTTGCTTTGGATGAAAGGGAGCAGGCTGTATTTTAAGAGCATTCAAGGATGCTGAAAGAAAATCATTTGATACAATCTGTTTGACTGAAACGTGACCTTCCCAGAATCACAGAAGATTTTTTTATATGTGAGTGAAGGGGCTGAGCTGCAGCTGGTGGAGGTGTATTGACTATGGCTGAGTACAGAGGAGGGTACTGAGCTCCATCTGGCGCAGTGCAAGCTAGCAAAAAACAGTACTGTATGGATATGCACATCCTAATGCTGAATGCAAAGTAGTGAAGATAAGTACAGTACTGTTAATTGGACCAATACAATAGCGAACATTAAGGTGCGCAATGTGGCAGGTACAGAGCAGTATAACATTCTGCAATTCTGTATAGTACAATACAGATTGAAAGTGCAGGGTGGTATTGCATTACATCACGTTATATGTAGTACAATGTAGCCCCAGCATGATTTACTTTATACAGTACTTTCACTTCCTGTGTCTACTGTATATGTTTAGCCTATATCTCTGTTGATTGCCATTGTTTTTCTTCTTTGCTGCATTCAGTAGCTATTCCTTCTTCTGGGATGGGGAGGTGAGGTCAGCTGTACAGTGCCTGTGTGCAATGCATGCTGGCCTCCCCAGTGTGTGTCCCTCTCGAATTGCACTGAAGAGTGGTTCCACAACCCAGCCGACTTTGCATGGAAGCTGGCACTCTAGGAGAGGCCAGATGATACAGACTGGGTCTTGGAATGAGTAAGCTTAATGGAAAGAAGATAGGTTTCTGGTCACTTGGCTTGGCTTTATGCAGCATGCAGGGCCTGATCCAGACACTCAAGAAGAAGGCACTTTTGCTCTCTTAACTTGTTGCTCACAGTCCAACAGCAGCTGGTGGCTTTGTAAGCACGACTGGTGATCGCGATGAGCCCCCATTGGCCAGAAAGAGCAGGAGAGCCCCACGACTCTGGAGGCCCATCTTCAGACAGAGACCCACGGGGTCATGGGAAAGGGTCATGAGAGGGGACCATGGTGAAATATCACAACCTTTTAAGCCTTTTTTTGTTTATGTTCTGCATTTCTTGCTGTTTTTTTCACCAGTGTGCGTGGGAATTATTCAGACGTTTAATAACCCGACTCATTGATTTTGCTGTATTTTAAATTGCATCTTAGAGCAGCGAGCTGGAAAATAGATCAGATCAGAAAACGCTCGGTGAGTGCATAATAAAGGCACGCTTCCTTACTTTGTAATCGGAGATAATATTGGTGTTAAATTAATGACTGCGAGTGTTAAATCTCAATGTGCTCGATGAATCTGGTAGGCTTTAATTAAGCTAGGAAGGTGTGCTCGCAGTGGTTTAAAGGCTTTCTCTTGAATTTTTCCGAGTCAGTTCATCTACAACCAAAAAAACAGTCCCCTTGTGCTACTTACTTTATGCAAAGTAAGCAACTGTCACCTCTCAGAACTCTAGCAATATGCAAAGGGTTTTATGACATGAGTCAATATCCTCTTCCATGAGCAGGCTTAACATGAAGGGGACGTTCGCAGGCTGCAGAAGACTGGCCGAGCCTTTTCCTCAAGATAAACTGCTCGTGTAACTCTGGCGCGAGACCTGTATTGTTTGCAAGACCATTAGCTCGTCTTTAGTTCGGTGTCGTTCCTGTGCTCTGTCTTCGAGAAACAGCTTAAGCAGAACATTCCCCTCCAATGCAGTGCCATCTATCGCCATGACAGTCCTGATAAACATTCGATTGACCTTCCTAGCAGCTCAGGTTCTACACCAGCAGCGCCTGTGCCAACGCAAAAGCAATCTTTGCAAAATCGACTTTTATTTAATTAAACCTGGAGAACAGTTTAAAGGAAAAGCAATGTAATCAAACCGTTACATTATCTTTGTTGTTCTTTATTCATTCTTTGCAAGCTTATTCACTAAAGCCCTGATTTTAGAAAAATGCCAGGAGGCCAAAAAGATGTTTAAGCATAAATATCCGTCACTTTTTTGGGGGGGTCTTCATTTGCATAACTAAGGATAATTTACTCAGGCAAATAAAAGTTGCTTTGTTCCTCAATGCAACGATTTGTAATTTACAAATACCCAGAGATCTGGGAGCGATGAGTCAGGGTTCTTGGGAACATTATCAAGGAACAGTCTTTTTGCTTTCTGTGTGGACTATTTCAGTGCCCTTAAATTGTGGAGTTCACCGTCATAGACCGTGTTGTCATATTTCTTGGTGCTGTGAGAAGATTTCGGGTGATTTCGGGTTGATTCAGGTGGGCAGGTGCCCGGGTATTCACAGGTGAGGCTGTCCCACAACATGACAGGCATCTGTGCGCCAGTTAGATATACACCTGAATTGCACAGGACAAATTCTACTCGTTTCCCAGAAGGAATGGGTGTTCCTTAATACGGCACCAAAAAAAGGGAGGAAGCCTGTGCTGTTGTTTTATATAGATTTACTGTGAAGCTCCTCACTGCTGCGTCCTGAAAGCTTTCTGTTGTTCACCTCCAGCCACCCAATGCAACAGCAGCTTATTGACTTCAGGAGAGTGGGCACGGCCATGGTCATCAGCATGTGTTTCCATTGTACATCAGTGCACAACGAGGAACCCCCTTAACTACAACCTGCCCTCCCAGGGGTCGCCCTCCCTGTAGAAATACAGGCCTCGCGCTGAAAGAGCCTCCGTACAAATCAAAAATGAGAAAATCTGTGAAAGGAGATTAAAAACTGGAGCAGGAGGAACTGAATAATTCAAAACAGGGCAGCGCTTTCCCTTTCTAAAAGATAAAGAGAAATAAGAAAATCAATTGACTGGCACTTGGACTTTGCTGTAGTGGGAGCGCTAGTATTAACCTCTCCTTTGTTACACAAAATCAAACGGAGATGCAGAGTGTCAGAACATGGCAGGATCAGACGCCTTCCGGCGCTGACTTCCCAGGAAAACGTTGACTTTTTCACAGCAACAATGGGGCAAGATGTGGGCTCTCTTTGGTGAAGTCGGGGGTGGGGTTGAACTTGCAACTTTTTCACTTTCCGCAGCGAAGGTCAGAGGTCAATGAATGGAGAGAAGGGGATTGTTACAATTTGAGAACTTTTGGTCGAAATCCGTAGGTCAAAAACCAGACTGAAAACCAGATGGAGGCAATCAAAGTCCTAATGCTCTTTGGTGTAATAATAAGCAGGGCTTTGTGTTGTTAGGCTGTGTGCGGGACTGTAATTGTGTTGCACAGCGAGTGCTGTAGTGCTGCTGTGTGTGTTGGTGCTGGAGTGTGTGTTTCCTGTTTGCCCCAGTGACTCAGTGCGGTCTCTCCCCAGCTCTGTCCATGGACCCCGAGTCTGGGAAGGGGAAGGAGACTCCAGGGGGCTTGGTGGTGCTCACACCCGTCTCCGAGGTCTCCTCCCTGGAGCTGGTGGCCCTGGCGGCACCGTCCCCCCAGGTCTCCCTGGCCTCCCAGCTCTCCGAGAGAGTGTCCGAGGCCGGCGCCCCCGACCCCCCCGCGCCCGTCCTCGAGAGCAGCAGCCAGGAGCCCCCCCAGAGCGAGGCCGAACCCCGCGGGGAGGGGGACAAGGACCCCAAAAAGAGCAAGCCCCACCTGCACTGTCCCATCTGCAAAGTCACAGTCAACTCCGCGTCCCAGCTGGAGGCCCACAACAGCGGTACGTCACAGAGCCTTCTGGGAAGGGAGATGGGCCTGAGCGAGCTGCCCGGCCTGGAGACAGACAGGTGAACCCCATGAGTGGGGTTTGGCATGGTTGGAAAACCAATTGGGGAAAAAAAGATGCAGCAATTAAATTTAAATTGGATTTTTAGTCTTTAGTAGTGACTTAGCTGCTGCACAGCAGGGCGGTGCCTGCACTAGCTGCAGCAGCTGTGCTTCTGGCCGGGCTGCTCAAGTGTCCTGTGATTCCCTTCCTCCCAGGAGCCAAACACAAGCTGATGCTGGAGGGCCAGAGCGCCCAGCCGCGCCGGAGGAGCAAGGTGCTGCTGTCCCGCGCGGCCTGCAAGACCAAGCGGCTGGGGAATAAGGGCAGCGTGGGCGTGCAGAGCAAGGCCTTCCACTGCGAGGTGTGCGAGATCTACGTCAACTCGGAGACGCAGCTCAAGCAGGTCAGTCAGCCCTGCAGCGCGGCTCAGACAACAGGAACGGAGAGAAGATCAGATCACTTTATTGGCCACATACGATCTCTTGCATTAGGAATTTGTCTTTTCGCAGACCCCAGCTTGCTCTCCACGAGACACACAGACAGGGAGAGAAGCTTGGGGTCTGCGAGAGTGCCTCTCATTGAGGTTTTTTGACGGTTCTATCCAAAACTATAATAAAGTGACCAGTGAGAGGGTTTGGATCAATGGGTGTGTCTGGGGAAAAAAGGTCATGTTCGCAGAGGTTAACGTTCACTTAATTAGAAATCCAAAAAGAATCCCGCTCTGGACAAGACAAGAACATGTGCAGAATCACTGTGGGGTTTGATTACCTTGAACCACTGTAAATCAAAGACCCGATTCATTCTGGTAAGGAAGAGAGGCTGTGTTGCAGTCCCTATTACACACACTCAGGAGTGCAAGCAAACGCACAGCCCTGCTGCAGAGAAGATTTCCTCAACAACTGATGATCTACAAGCCACA